ATTAAATAATTGTACAACAGATGCATCTTCATGATTAAGATGAATGAGAAGTTTTAATTCACGATAGGTTCGTTTTGCATGAATATCTGATTGAAATGGTTTTAGCATTTTTTTGATGGCCACCTCTCGATTTATAATTGTATCTCTGGCAAAGGCAACCGCACCATAGGCACCGGTACCGATAAGTTTAAGATCCTGATAACGAGTCGGAATATTGAATGTAACAGCACCGAGTTCAACTGCATAATACTCGTTTGAACTCATTGTTTTTGAAATAATATTATAATCTGAAAGTTAAACGAGATTTTAGCAAACTATGGTTACAAAGTTGTATTAGCGACATAGGCAGAAATTAGAGAACTTCCATTCTCGATACTCAGATGCATTCGCAAATCATTATCGTGTGCAACTTTCGTTGTAAAAAGTTTAGCGAACTACTTTCAATCCTTATGGAGAAAATTTAAAAACAACGATATCGTACATACGAACGTATCTTTTTATCTAAATTTGATATTTACACATATTGAAACAAAGTATAATAACTGAAAACAAAAAGTAAGAAAACTTCAATAGCATGAGTGTTCATCTTGCATCATAAACAACTAGTCGTCTTGTTCGTTTCTTGTATAGTATTCTATAACCACATTCTGTACCTAAAACAACGACAAATGAGCAGCAGATGATTATCATCCTGTTCGAGCAACATTTCTTCTTACATCTTATAACGTCAGTCGATCGAAGTTCATTCTCCTTGTGACACTCTCCACAAACATATGTCATTCCTTTCTGCGAAGTTGTTGAAGCCGTTGACGCTGACGCCGGGCCTGGTGTAGAAGAATCAGATGGAGTTTTGTCCATATTCAGATTAAAATCTGGAAGTAAATAATTGAGATGAAAGCATTACAATAATAAAATGTAAGGAATATATTTATAAAAAAGTAGTTCAGTCTATCAAAATGGCGTCTCGATCCAATTAGCGTTTTATAATGACATTTATAAAAAAACTAACATCTAGACGGTTTTACTTTGTAAGCTTCATTTAGATCAGACAATCCAATAAAAAGAAGTTAGCATTTCGTTTCACTCATCTACACAGTTGTCTGAATAATCGTACGTGAGATTTAGTAAGTACTCGTCCATTTAATGAAAAAATATTCAAGATGAATATTTATTTTAATAAAAAACTATTCATAACGATGTCATTTATTCGCTAAAGTATAGAGAAAGATTAGAACGTCAACACGATGTAAAAGTTAATTTATTTCTTTTCACATTTTTGTTTATGACAACAAATAAACAGCATACAAAAACAATTTTAAAATGATGTTCAATTTATTGTTTTTGTGCTTGTGCTTTTCTTTGTGCAGTAATGGCATTTTGTAGTTCATCACGTTTCTTTTTTCCTCGTTGATGACTGCCTAACTATAAAATGTAAAGGAAATAAAATTCGTTTTGTTGACTTTTGCGTACTAATGCTAGTGCTTACCCTTGCTTTCACATATTTCAATGCTCTTTTATCACGACCAACCTTCATTAATTCAATAGCACGTCTTTCGTACGGCATAAAACCAACGATTTCACGTACAAGATCACGAACAAATTTTACACGTTTACTTTTTTTCTAGAATATAAGAGAAAAAATAAACATACAAAAACAAAATGAATCAATCAACATAAATACAGAAACACTAACTTACTTCTGTACGACGTGTTGGACGAACTCTTTTTGGTACAAATTTTTCTATTTTTCGTCCTTTATGAAGACCAACAGAGATGTCATATTTTGGTACAAATGGTTTTTTAGTTGACATTTTGAATCTAAAAGAAAAACAAACATCTTAAGCATAGATTCAATCAACATCATTTTTTCATTTACTTAGATCAAAGTTTTAACTCAAGTCCACACTTTAGATGACATCAAAAATATAGTCATTGTAAAATTAAGACCGAAACCAAATCTAAGAATCTATTTGAAAAACCGTGCCTCTACTAATAACAGATTTTGTTTTATTAAAATTATTTAGCTACTCGCGTTACCGTCATCGAGGCTGTTTATCACTAGCCGTTAGCAAGACGAAAAGACGTAGAAAGCGAATATTAATGGCTAGTGGTAAACATGCTGTCAAAAAAAGTAACTCGAAATACGATCGCATCCGATGAATGTACTTGGGATAGGTACGTCGCTTAGTTAATGAAGTAGATACTCACATTTTTCTAGAAGGAAATTTCCTTATGAATACTTGCCTCACTTGAGAAGCACTTATTCAAACTCTTGTCAAGTAGCCAGGTCGAACAATCCTAGCGTAAGATTCTACAAGATTCTTACAAAGGTCCACTTTATGATCCTCCCATAGGAGCCTACGAAAATCTTGTAGGACTTTATAGGAAAACCTCAAAGTCAAAAAATCCTACAAAATCCCACTGTAAGATTCTTATAGGATCCTGTAGCCAGATCTTGTCGAATCTTGCAAGATCCTTTAGAATTCTATTGTAGAATTGCAATAGGATTTCATCTGATTTTCTGCTGGCTTATCCTACTAGGTTTATTGTTTTTATTTGTTTAATTATTCTCTGATCCTAGCTAATCAGAACCAGGTGATTCTGAGCTGGAATAAGCCCAGTGAGTACTGACTCACACGTCGTTGAACAGCAGCGAGTTTCGATGACTCACAATGTTCAGTGCGAAAATTTGAGACTAAAAGAATTTTTCATTTTCTACAGTACAGTGGAACCTGGGTACTTGTCAAGTATGTTTGCAAGTTTAATAAAATATTTCGTAGTAATAAGGCTAGGTATTACAACCTTGGAGTACTTGTAAAAAGTCATTGGCAAGTAAGTAGTTTTGCTAATATACTTGCCAATTTATTTGTTGAATAATACGTTTTCTACGATCAGTTAGTTGTTCAAAAAAAAGAACAAGTATATTTTTTTATTTGCTTCAATACATCAGATGATATGATTGTTGTAAATACATTTTCAGTTTTAAGAAGTCCACATCTCACAAAAGATGGAAATTCCTTATTATTTCATAACGACTGATGTGCTATTCGACTTTATTCCCATTTTTTCAGCGCATAAAAGTTTGTCTGTCGAACAGCTGTTAGGATATGGTTAACTTCTAATTTAGTTAATTGAATTAAGAGGTCTCTTTAACCGGTTGATCGATAACTGCAGAACTGCGTTAAAATAGGCTAACTCCCTTTCAGACTTACGTAAGCTTTTCCTTTTCTCTTTGTTTCGCAAAAAAACATTTATCCGTGAAAAGTCATTATAAATACCGACAGAACTATTAGAAAAGTTGAATCAAAAATCATACAACCAATGGTTGCATTGTTTAATATGAATATCCTTTAGATAAAAAATGTCATGACGTTAATGATATTGCTTGGATTCAAGGCCAAACCAAAACACGATTTGTGGTTAAAATCAAAAGCAATTCAGCATTCTGATCTATCCACAATGATAAAAATGTGAAAAAATCCCCAAATAAAAGAAAGAGAACTTTCCACTAGGAAACTAAAGATATCGTGGTCAGAGTAATATTTTCTCTTACTATCTATTACTTCGTTCGTCAAAATAAAAATTCGAAATATAATATAGTATAGTGGCGATTGTCCATCTTTTTCTTCTCTCCCTATTGTGGGACCTTTTGCCTTCACGCGCGTTATAAACTCGGATACTATGCCTCGTTTTTAGAATGGAAAAGTGGAATATATTTCCTTTATCACCTGAATATGTAGTTCTTAGTGTGATCTTCTATTAATGCACTTCTGCTAAAATGCATTAATATAGAGTGAAGCGGGTAAAAGACGGAACCGTTAAACCATTTTTGATTTGTTAAAAATCGTCGCTTAGCAATCATACTGCTAAGATAGTGATTTCAGATGCGAGCGCGAGCAATTAGTGTGTGCTACTTATTCACAGCTGCATACTACGTTACGCTATGAACCCACTGTCTAATTTTGTAACAACTGCACTTTTCTTTTCAGATAAAACTTTACCACGAATGAGTGAGCTAAAACCTCACGTTGCAATGGTTGGTACAGTATTTTTGCTGTCTTTTGAAACTGTTATTGCCGTATGAAAGTTGATTATTGAAAAACTGAACGAATAATACTTTTTTATTTGTAGGATTTAGACGATCTCATTTCCATTTTAGTATGGCTTTTGTTCTGTTCGCGGTCTCAACCCAGGTGACATTAAATCTTGGTGCACCTGTGGACTAAGCAAAAAACAACCATGGTGTGATGGTAAGATCATAGATGAATTTAATCGTTTGTCTGTCATCATTAAAGCTACAAACTGTATTTCTGTTTGTTTATTATTTTAGGCTCTCATGTTGAAACTAAGTTCTGTCCATTAAAATGGATTGTGCCCGAAAATAAACAAACATTATATTCAATTTGTGCTTGCAAATACACAAAATCTCCACCATATTGTGACGCTACTCACACATCACTGCCGAGTGTTATTCGTGATCAAATATTGTCGTGCTCGAAAGAACATTTATCTGAATTAAAATTATGTGACGGCTGTGGATGGGTTCCAGACTGGTGAAGTAATTAACCATGACATCTTACTTATTTATCTGTTTTTAGTCGAAGATAAAATATGTGCAATAATTTTTTTATAATTTATATACGTAATCTGTTATTTGTCATGATTATCTAATAAAATGTATCGATCTTTTCTAATTAGACGTGAGGGGTATTCTATCCAAAAAGGATTTGGATAGAAAGCACCAGAGACAGAAAGGTTTGCAGAGCAACTAACGAAACTATGAGTGTTAGCTTTTTGAGCAAATATTTTAAAAACGCATAATTTTTTCAAGAAAAAGGTCGTGGAATGTAGGAGTGATATTGTTTTGTAATTCACGCTTTCCTCTGCAGTGGGCGTGTTTGTGTGTATGTTCAACTCAAGATTGACACTTTTTTCAAAGAAGGGATGGTATACCCTTTTGATCGGAAGAGTGTGAGACTAGTCATTCGATTGAAACGGAAATAATTGGATCGATCTCTCAGTTAAGAAGCATTTCTGATACAAAACTTTCAAGGATTCTTACTCAAAACCTATCTCAGAGCATAACTGAAATAACCGCTACAGGCCTATATGAAACAGCAATTGAATGCGCTAGACTGTAAGAATAGTGTTTTTTAGAACATTTTTTACCGTTCTAGTTGAATTTTTCAGATCTTTCACAATGAAATTTGAGGAATTTGATGCGAAGGAAGAAGATGAAGAATTTCAAAAATTTTTGCAAGAGGTAAAAAACAGACAGCTTTATGCTAAATGATTTTGAGAGTACGGCAAAACTATTCTAGGCAACAACGAAAAAAAGCGAATCAAAAAATGAACAAAAAGAATTTGAACGAATCGCTATAACTCCTGAGCCAGGTACGTATATTATTCAATTTTACAGTAATTTTAACTAGTTTTCTTCCGCTTTTTTACACAGCATTTTGTTTGAAAACAAAAACAATTGCGACGTCGAATGAAAATACTGGTGAAAAAGTGTTTATCAATGTGTGTACATCAACAAAAATTCAAGCACCACGTGACATAAGCGAACATGAATTGATTGAAATTGTAAAATCAGAAGATCCAGGACGATATCGTGTGCCGATTAGTCTCGGAGAACCCGTCGCTGATATTGACAAAAGTATGTACTCACTTATAATTTATCTTCTGACGTTGATTGAACATGAGCAATTTTTTTGCTTAATATAGATGGTCATGGTTGTTCAATTTTTACAGTTATTATACATCCAGATTATTTGAAAAAAGCTCGTCAAAGTTCTACATTTATGAATTTTTTATTAACATTAGTTTATGAAGGTCTTGAAAATAAATTTCCAATGTTTAAACTTGAAACAGGTTAGATTTTGATATACTCACAATATTGTAGATAGTTTTAAGATTCTTTTACTATAACCACGCTCTAAAGTGAAGACTAATCCATCTCTGATATGTCTGATCAAACATTAATCATGACAGACAGTACATGCACATGGATTAGCGCATGTGAGAATTACGATATATTATTTTGTTTCGTTGCATGTTCTGGTTTTGTTCTAAGAAAAAGTACATTTTGAAAAACATACGTAAAGTGTTTAGGAAAATCACAAAAAAGAAGAACTCTGTATGCAGCAACAATAATGTGTCTAATACACAAAAAAACTATACATACCCACAACAAAATGCATATGAAAAAAAGTAATAAGCGATATATTACGCTTTATTTTTTGCATTCAATATAAAACAAAACAAAACAAAAAAAAACAATTACAAGATGAAATAACAACAAATAAAAACAGTTTGTTTATCACATTCATTTTGAGTATCACAAATAATAGAGATAGAAAGAGACATGTTTCTTTAGCACAGAAAAGTGTTGCACAAACAAATAGAAAAAAAAAACAGAAAGGAAAAGTTTGTTCGTTAAAGAGGCAGAAGATTACAGAAAAGCACCACTCGGTACAAAAACAAAGAATTTCATGAGTATCTCTTATATACATGAGTGTGCTAAAGTTTTGATTTTCGGAATTGAGTCTACAGCCGATTTCTTAGTGACCCACCGGCATTTGAGAATTAAAAATAACTATCATAAATGAAAAAGAGATTCTACTATAAGAACACTTATTTAAAAGTCTACTGTTCATTAGATTCAAAAAAAAAGTGGCTAGGGGAGATGTGGGAGCGAATTGTACTAAAATAGAAAAATAGCTATCGAAAGGGAATATTGACTATCACAGTAAATTTAAAAGTAAAAAAGAATGATCTTGCTACGCTGTTAAGAAAAATCTGCTAGCTTTTGCATTCTCTTCACAAAATCGAATATTTTCTGGATTAAAAAACACACATGTGGACGGCTTCAGTAATCAATATCAAAAAAAATATTTATTCATTTAAATCACTCATATCATCAGCCATACTATCTTCATCAATATCGGATGTTAGTTGTTGACCACTACTCCCACTACTCGTTTGTTGACATGGAAAATAAGAATGTGAAGGTGTATTCCCATTTGTTGTTGTTTGTTGTTGTAATTTTTGTAGAGCTAATTCTGTTCGTCTTTTCTCAATATTTAAACGTTCATATTCACATTCGTTCTGTTGTAATTTAATATCAATATTTTTTCGTTCAATAAGTAAACGTTCTTTATTATTGATTAAACGTTGATTAGTTAAATCAATTGTACGTTTGCGTTTTTGTAATGATTCAAAACGTAATTGTGTTTGTTGTTGTAGATATGTAGTAGTTGGTAGTATCCACGGTTGTGTTGACACATTCGGTAATGTTTGAATGGCTGCTGGTTTGTCGTTTGTTTGAGCATTGATCATACGACGACGTTTATCCATTGTACGTTTCGATACAGACCCGCCGTATGAATGTGGATGACTGTAATGATTCGAATTTTCATGTGTTGAATTTTGTCCTTGATTGTTAGCTAACGACGATGACGTTGTGATTAATGGAGTTGATGTTGTTGTTGTTGTTGTTAAAAGTGGAATAGGTTGAGCATAACCAAAGTTATTTGAATTTTCCTGATCATAGTGATTATCACCGCCGATATTGGCATTTTCATCATGATTTTGTTCATTTAAACTTGATGGAGATTGCTGAACTGCAGTATCTGATTGTGGAGATATCTGATGATTATACGAGGAGGGATTTGATGACTAAATAAATAATCAAGAATATCTGTTAGATCAAAGTTATTTAGAACTATAGTCCAATTCATCTTACCTGTTCAAATGTTTCTGTGTTTGGTATTTGTTGTAATGGATAATGTGCTGATGGTGCTCGACATATTTGTAATATTCTGTTATATAAATGAATTTGTTTTCCCGTATTAGCACTTGTTGTTTGTCCTGATTGACTATAAACTGTTGCTTCTCTCTTAGCTTCACTCTGTAATTTTTTCCATTTTCGCCTTACATCTTCAACACTTCGTTCAACTTGTGGATATTGTTGATTTAAATTTTCTGTTATTTGTTTCCAAATTGCTTGTTTTTGTGCAATGACACTTTTCGATGCTTCTCGGGAATGTAATAATTGTTTATACGTATCGTATTGATCAATGATAAACACAACTTCTTGATCAGTAAAATTTGGTTTACGTCGACGACCAACATGAAATGAATTGATATCTGAATAATCATGCTGTGGTTCACTTTTAACAATATTATTTTGAACATGTTCATGATGATGTGAATGTAGTTTATGATAGTGATGATTACTATAATCATGAAGTTGTTGTTTCTGTTCATTTTTAATTTGATGATTATTTGTATGGACTAATTTTTGATTTTGATCTGATGTTGTTGTATGCATAGTGTTGATAATGATGATGATGTCCTTAAAAATAGTGATTGTTTTATTTTTCTCTTTCCCTGTTGTAGCACCCTGTATCACTTATAATTTTTCAACAACATATATCTATCACAGAATAAACTGAGAAAGAAAAACGACACGAGTTTGATTGGATCTAAAACATAAAAATGGTTTCTAGTTTAAACATGATTCTTTCCTTTTTTTTCCTAGAATAAAGTCCTCGCAGGCTATTACACTAGTATACTCTCTCTTGAATAAACATATATACACGGTTCTTTTTAACCCCCCATCCCAAAAAAAAAAAAAAAATGTTGAGTTTTTTTCTTCTTTTAAAACAATCGCAACCACACACATCTTCTGAGAATGTTGGTGGTGAAAACGAAAGGGAAAATAAGAGGATTTATTCTTTATTTTATAGTTTCACTGGTTTGTTTGAAAAATTGTAGATCTATATAGTCTTTATATACTTCAAGACAATAAAAAAAATAAGTTCAAAAAAAAGTTCCAAAGGATAAAGAAAATTTGTCATTATATCCAAGTATTCTACTCTAGTCATTCAAAATCTCATTCAACATAAACTGTGATCTAGTACAAAGCATCTAGAAAAAACTAAAGACATAATATTTAATCACTCACCTCTAGCTGACACCTGACAAGAAAAAGGAAGTCTCTTTACTATCGTGAATACTAGTTTTTCTTCTCTGATTATGACGCGTTTCACATAGCTGAAAAGTCAAAAATTATCAAGTGAAAATGCACATTTGAGATAAAATTTACAACTGTGTGTTTATCTACGCTTTTAATATATCCCAAAGTTCAGACTAATGCTACACATGAACGCTTCTTCTCACTAAACAAACTTATTAAAACTTGAAGCGTTGATTTATTAAACTAGTACATGTTCAAAAAAGTTGAGGATATGTTCGAATTAAGACTTGTTTGTTAGACTCTTTTTTTTACATTTCAGTCATGTCTTATGAAAGGAAAAAAATCGACTAACATATAAACACATAATCAGATATTTGACTCTCGTTAGAGGCTTTTAAACCTGTCTATAAAGGTAAAAGGAATAGTGAGTGATGTGATGACAAAGTGTCATATAATAATAAAAATTCTAACCGAATACATACGAAGTACAATGTTGCCAAGCACCCTTCTCTTCTTACCACACACACTCACATAAGCACTTTCTTCTCATCGTCGTTTTCTGTCCTTCTTAAAAAAAGTAAAATTATTAAAAGGAATAAATTTCATGTTCCGTTATACTAAAAATAGTAGTCATAGTTATTACACATATTTCTTGTCTAATCCATTCTCTTTCCTCAAATAAGAAAGAAATAATATGCAAAAAAAAATAATAGTGGGAGAGTTTTGCTACTCTATAGTGTCTGTCTAATTCAAGTAAACAATATGAATAAATGATAATAATGATTGATTTATGTTAGGAATTCACTTAATCAATCAAGTAGACTCTCATTCTATTATTATCTGTACTACGATTATTATTATTATTATTATTACACTATTTCATTGGTAATATTCTCCACCATATGGAGTAAGGGATATTTGTTCTAGATTGAAAGAATAGTACTTTTAGTAAATATACTTAACTAATACACATCGTTTTGTATAAGCTATTACCTTAAACATAAAGTAAAACGTAAAAAAAAAAAGAAAGATGTAGAGATATAACGATAGAGTTAAAAAAAAAGAAGAAAAAAAGAAAAAAAGACAGGGTATCTAACTCACGTGGGCCTTATACGCAAAAGTTAAGTTTAGAATTTCGGTATAGGAGAGTGTAGGTTTTTTGAGTGTCTTTTTGTTATTTCTTTCTCTCGTTTTTTTTGTTAAAATTTTTTTTTATAAGAAACAAAAAGAAAGAATAAATCTCTTATATCCCCATTTGATTGCTCAACTCACACTAGCAGAAATATGTTCTGCTCTCTCACCATTTGGTTGCTGCTCTGTTTTGGCATATATTTTTGATTCTTTCTTACTAACTACCACCACAGGATTACTATTCCTGATGATGGTACACATAAACACAAATATATCTGCTTTAACTAGAAAAAGATTTCAATTCTCCTTCTATTTTTTCTTTTTTCTTTCTACTACTAAAATATTCAAATTTGAATTTCGAGTTTTATGCTGATTATAGAGACATGAAACGTATTGCTGTTGTTTGTCTTGCTCGCTCTGTCTCTTTCTCTCTCTCTTTTCTCTACTACTTTTACTAAGGACAACTGATCTGTAAGCGTCTACAACTATTGTGTGTACAAACGCTTTTTTTCTGTTACCATTAATCTTTTTTTTGACTCAGACGTCTTTTATCTTTCCTCTATTTCTTTAGAATTATCTTCCACTTTAGATTATACTTTTGGTCTAAGGAAGTACATCGTCTCTTAAATATTTGTTCCATATATCTGATGAACATCCTATAGAATTTATTATAACGGAATAGACAACAACCTAAAATAAAATTTTGCTACTCCACACATTTCTTTCTGTTTTTTGACTGATATTTATAAAGTTATCTTCATTTTCTACAAGCATTATTAATTGGAAATCCATAATGACTCTTGTCTGATCCCAACCAAGAGATCGAGTCTTCATCGCATCCCTCGAATGACTTTTTTTTCATCTACATGGGTTATACTTTATCAAGAGAAAAAAACCATAACTGTACATAATTGCGCAGAAATTAATTTAAAAAAATATTTATAAGATCACAAATATAAAAAGTTAAAGTCTATAAATAAATAATCAAAATTTAATAATTGTACAGTTTCTATGCTTACTTTTCCCCATCCAAATTCAGATATACTTTGATCAAATATCATTCAATAGTCAATTCATTATTTAATAAAGAATTTTAAATATTGAATAGAAGATTGTTCAACTTGTCTGAGCGTTCAGCTAGTAGAAAGTCTATGTCGTATAGACAATTAAAAATATTTTTTTATAAATTTCTAATTCAAAACTACAAATGATTTAAAGTCAAGGTCTGCATTTGATTATTCAATCGATCGATTGAAATGAAGAGAGGAACGTATCTAGGTGGTATTACTCCAGTATGTATGGTTGTATGATGTATCAAAAAAAGAATGAGCTACTGATTATACATTTGAGCGTATGTATGTGTATGTATGTGCTAAAAAAATAGATTTACTCACTGAAGCGTACTATATAAAACTGTGCTTGTCTTGTACTATCATAGTATAGACTATTCGACCTAAATGCAACATGCATATTATTTAACGTTACGACCTTTATATCAAAAAAACGGATGGTCATAAAAACCTTATCATATTTGAATAATGATTGGTATAACCATGAAGAAGCAAGTTACTATATATTTGCCTTAATCGTTTAGTAAATTATTGAATGAGTGAGCACATTGAATAATGAAGAAAAATAGGATGGATCTAATTACCAAAGACCATGTTGTACTCAAACGTACAACTCATGCGAGACTAAAAATTTTTGAGCTATAAGTCATAGACTTCCTACTACTTTTTCATTCTTTTTTTTACTTGTCTTGTATGCTCATTGACTTATATTATAATGTGTTCTTCAAAAAAAAAAAAAAATGAAGTTGCCTTCAGCGTTATGTTATTAAGAAAGGACAGATCAATTGAGACAACTATAATATGAAAGAAAGTTGAAGCTGAGTTTTTAATGGTATATAAAAAGATGTTTTGAAGACAGGATTATAATAATAATCAAAAATTGTATCTATTTTTGTTTTTTTTCGTCTTTAAAACTTACCATAAATAAGAAAGAATGATGAGAGAAAATACTTATATCTTAGAACGTGTATCTATGATAGATATGCTGTCGGTTTTTTTCTGCGTAGCTGTACTTATTGTGCTGTTGTTCGTTCTTATTCTTATGTTATGTCATAATAGGCAATGTCAATTATGTCATATCGTTTGCGTTGTCAGGTTTTTTCTTCCATTACTCTTGCTCAGCTATGATTTATAACTCTATTTGTGTGTGTGTGTATATATATATATATATATATATATTTATGTGTGTGTGTATATATATATATATATATTTATGTGTGTGTGTGTGTGTGCAAAGATATAGATATGTGGGTCTATGTGCATTTCATTCTTTTTATCTAGCTCTACCTTGGTAACATGACTAACACAGCACATCGCCATTATTACAATAAAACGACATGAATGATATAATAAAAATATTATCTTTAAAAAAAGAGTAAACATCAAATATATCGATTGAAAAAATGTTTTCATGAAAATGAAATAGAACTATATGAATCTTGAAGATTTATCTTCTTTTAGGAAAAGAGTGTGTATTTTTAAGAAGAAGAGAAAGCATTGTCTTAGAAAGAATAGAAGTGTGTTTGTTTGAAGTGTTGTAATAAAGACATAATTTAACTCTCAATCATTTTGGTCATTTAAAATCTTAGCAAAAAATGTTTCAATATTTTTTAAACTTCAAAACTAATATCATTAGAAAATTACACTCTTATTATAGATGATTTTCTTCTAAGAAAAGTAGTATGAAAACTATATGATGGAAGAAAGAGACAAATAATAAATACTGGATCATTCTCTGTATGATAATAAAATGGTAAGAAAATTAGTATATCTTTTTTCAATATGAATAGAATAGAACGTTTTGATTGATGGATGGAAGATTGATTCTAGCTGAACTTTCAAAAAAACGTCATATTAAATTTTGACAATTATCTTGTTTATTTTTATTTAGACTGGATTAAACTTAAAAATCGAAAATATATGGGACAATTAACCGATCAATATATTCGAACAAAATCGAAACCATTCATTGTTGAAATTGATAGTAACGGGAAAAGGTGTGTACATTTTTCTTCTTTTCTTTTTTTTTTTTGTATTTTACAAAATAAAATATTTTATTGATAATTGTTAATAATATTAATTTAGTGAATTAGATGAACAAGACAAATTGGAAACGATAAAGGATAAAAATCAATTTGAAAATGAAAATGATATTGAAACAAAATTACAAAGGTAGAAAAAAAAGACACCATTTTATAGATATTTTCACACGTTTAGTTTTAATCTATTTAGAGGACAAATACCGGAATACAAAATTACTCGAGAACCACTTGAAGGTGAACCAGAATATTTAGTAATGGAAGTTCAATTACCAAAAGTAGTAAGTATTTTGCTAGTCTCTATTAAACCTTTATGTTGTTTTTTTTTGTTTTTTTTTTATTAGAAATCATCGAAAACTATCTCATTAGATATTGGTGAAGATCGAATACTATTACAAACAAGATCTAATGTTTATTTTTTGGATATTTATTTATCGTTTAATATGAATTCGGATGATTGTGGTGCACAATTTGATAAAGCTACGCAGGTATGAACAAGATCAATAATCGATAGAAAAATTAAATGTTTTATAATTGTAACTTTATTTTAGATTCTCACAATTACTATACCATTGGAAACTTCTAAATGAAACTGTTAGACATATTTTTATTATAAAAAAACAAAAAAAAAAAAAAATTAAAATTAAAATTCTCATCTATGTGTGATATTCTAAAAGTCTTGTTGTCACTTGTGTTGTTTTTTCAGCATTTTTCAAATAATTTTTCATAATATCATAAGCATTTGTATTTTTACTTTGATTAAGTAATTGTGCAACATCATACCATTCAATCATTAATCCTTGATCAAGATGTCTCAATCTCCAATTATCTAATTTTTTCTTATTTTTCATTTTTATACAATAAGCATAAATATAGACTAATAATGTACATAAAATAAAAAAAATACAAATTGTCACTATGAATATATAACCGCGTAATTGACGTCGATTATTTTTATCCATTTTAACTTCAAGTAATACAAATGTTTCTAAATCACAAAAACTAAAAATTTAAAGAAAATAGATAACATATAAATAATAAAATAATTAGTCAATTAACAAAACTTAAATATTATACCTTTGTAAATTATTATAAGAAATAATATGTAGAAGAAATTTATATTCTGTTCCATGTGCTTGATTGATTGATTCATTTATTTTTAATGGATTTGTTGCATTATAATATAAACAAGAATTTTTTGGTATATTAAAAGAATGAATTAATGTTCGATAAAATGTTCGTCTCTCATATGGAACCTATAAAACAGAATAGAGATGTACAACCCAATCCGTACCCGAAAGTTCGGTACAAGTACGAAGTTGTCGGGTACGAGTTCCGTTTTTTTTATTTATCCGAAAACCGGAAGTTTTTAGTGGAAAACCACAAAAATTTAGTGGTAAAAATAGAAGATTTTAGCTAAAATATATGAAGTTTTAAAAATCAGTTATTTGAGAACGTCCAATCTCCAGCTGAAAAACAAAAGTTTTTAGATGGAAAACGAAAATGAGAAAATTTTTAGACATAAGTCGTGTATGGGTACAAAGTTCTCGGGTCGGGTACGAGTATGAAAACGGTACCCGTGCACATCTCTAAAACAGAGTATTATTTAATTATTAATTTCTCTAATATATGGAATTAGATCTAAACAGTATCCATACATAGGACATTTTAGTTTTTGCTGATGTCATCAATGTCATTCTTGTCCAAAGACGATATAAACTTCGATTTAATGGTACACAATTACTGCGATCTAATAAATTTTCTGCATATATTTCATCTTGTTCATTGATAGCAATAGCATACATAATTAACATGCCCATATATTTACCTTCTACTGGTTTACATTTCTGACCATAACAACTAGACAAAAATGAAATTCAAGAGTATTTAATAAATTCTAGCACGTAAAATTATAATAAATCTTATATTTTTACTATTGATAATTGAGATTCAATGCACTCTCTTTTTGATTTATACTGATGTACAATGAGGAAAATTCTTTAAGAAATTCGATTGGTAAATCTTGACGAACCCTGTAAAAAAGTATTATTCTCTATTTTAATATTGAGACGTACTTATATTTTATTTTGAATTTAAACTAACCATTTGTATCCGATAGTTGGCCGATCATTCCATGATGACTCTTGATATGAATTTCTATAAATAATCAAAATAGATTCAATTTATATAATAATAAAAGTTCTTTTTCAAACATACTTTATAATTCGTAATGCACTCGCTCTCGAACAACATGCTTCTACTTGCCATACCTAGAGTTTAAAGTATTTATTTTTTATCAATTATTCAAACTTTATTTATTGATATTTTACATACGATTGAAGGTGGAAATGTGCATGAATAACCATTTCTTATAAGAGTAACTCGTATGGATATTAGACTTGAATCATAGTCCAATCTGAAAGAAATAGAATAAATAAAAATTCAATTGTTTCACGTTGTAATTAATCCATACTCAGTAGTTACTCTTGTTGTTACAAGAATATCCTAAACTAAAATATATGAAACTCGTATTAATAAATTTTTCTATTAATTCGATCTATATAGAATCTCACCCCTAATATTCTCACTAATCCGCCTTGACGTCTTTTTGTATATTTGACAATGTAACCAAGAATAGGTGACTTTGTTGCAATAACAATAATTGGTATCTCCGTATAAGCTTCTAATTCAAATAGAAAATGTTGTTCGATATTTTTTTCTAAAACGTACAATTGATTAGTATCAAATAGAGCTTCAAATCGAACATATGGACATGATGATTGAGCAAATTCTGAACATGCCATCGATACATTTTGTTCATTGGTATTAAAAAGACATTGAGAATAATTAAAGACGATTGTCATGTTCATTGGACTAATTTTACGTGTACCTTGTACAAATCCATAACTATTTGGAATATTTAAAATCGGTCCACAGTTTGTCATGTTTCGTACTAGACGCCACATTGATGGTAAAACAGTTTCTTGACCATAGAACCATAAACCATTAATTGTTGTCACATAAAATTCGTGAATAGCCAAGAAAACATAATTTATTTTATCATTTTTGTCAATACAATACGCATCATTAGCCACAATGCTCACATTATCATAAATTGTAGATGTATTCTCGTAAAAATCATGCAATGTACTTTCAGTTAAATTATCCATATATTTCGATGGACATCCAGCAATAGCTACTTCATTAATTAATATGCCACCATTAGCTGTGTATAATATACGTCTTTCATCCCAAATAAAATAAGCATTTGGTATAACACTTTGAGTAATATGTAAATAATCACCTTCAAATATAATTAGATTTGGATTCATAAGAATATTTGGACTTTGAGGTAATGTTTCAGCATCAACAAGATTAACAGTAGAAAATAGTTCATGATAAATAAGTGCCTGTTTAAATAAAATAATAATTAGTAAAAATGAATGTCTAGTTCTACAAGAATTCTTTGACCTTATTTTTTTCAATTTTAACTACAATCATTAAACTTGAATAAGCATGAGAGACGCTTATATGAACAAATTCACAATTCAACTGACATACCTATAAAAGAAAATGATCTGTTATCACCTGTCGAATTATATTCGATATTACACTACGTACTGGTTGACTATTAAACAAATTTCCTAAATTGTAAACAATATTTAATGATTTAAATGAGAATAAGACTGCTGTGCCACTTTTGTTTGCTATAATGGCATTATAATTAAATAATTCACATAAATAACTACTACCACTTGTTTCAAGTCTTCCACAACATGGATTAATAAATACATAATCAATACTATCCAATATTGAAATATCTATAAAAAAAATCGTTAAGATTTCACATTTATAACAGATTGAAAATGACGACAAAGTCTATCGAAACGTATCTATTGAGTGTACCAAATTGTATAAAATCGCACACTCCCATGGCACACTTCTTTTCGTAATACTGACGGTTACTGACCGGTCTATAGATTACCACTGGTTAACCGTACCGTTCGGTATAACTACCGGTTTAGCGACAGTTTTTTCTTCTACCGGCGGTTACCACACGCTATTTTTCAGACCGTGGTACAAGAAAAAACCGTCGGTAAACCGTTTTGACACATTCACCTTTTTGTTTTGCGGTTGGTAGTCTATATAAGAAACGCAGAAAAGTCAAAAAGACTTTTTTTTTAGATTAAACTTTCTCTTTCAGATTGTAGAGACTCGTCGAAATTTGCACTTGGACTTGAGTCAAGTTTGTCCCGTTCGGGTACCTCATTACGCTGCATGCGCATTGCAAAAAACACAAAAAAAAGAAAGCTGGGAACTCGATTCGAACTCCTGTACTGTTTGCTCACACTAATAAAATACCGGTTGATACCGCCCGTACACCCGACCAGTGCACAGTGGGCATTTTTTGCTAGAGCAAGCGGACTTTAGCTTTATGAGCGAACTAAAATTTCTTGAACCATTTTTTTATAGGTTTTTCATGATCCTCTTTCTAATGGCATAAGAGTTGGGTTTTGAAA